TTGTAAATTTGTGAGCCTGGGGGAGAAGCTGAAAATAAGAATTTCTTAGAAGCTCCCTGGTGATCAGGTGGAGTCATCAAATCACCCTTTGAGTAATAAGGGGTCTAAGCACTTAGCCTTAGAAGCCTGGAGTGCACACACCACTCTGAGCAGCTCCCTTGGGCCCCAGCTGGAAGTGGATTGAGAGAGAGAGAGAGAGAGAGAGAGAGAGAGAGAGAGAGAGAGAGAGAGAGAGAACACTACTAGAGTAATTAAAAGATAAAAAAGAAAAACTGGACTCTATTTTTCCCAACACTGATGCTTTTTAGACAAAGAAGGTCTAGATAGAAGAAAGCTGGGTATTTAAAATTTTATATTTTATTCTGTAGTTTTTATTTTACATATCTTTAAAAGACAATTATGAGATGTAGGTTATGGTTGTCTCTGGAGCTTTCCTGAGGTAGCACCATGCCCCTCAGTCTAGGAAACCCTCAGCATCCTGACAGTATGCCCAAAGAAACTACCAGTTTGAATGTCTGTGAAGTTAAATGTTTTAATAGGAAAAGACGTGCATACGCTGTTGGTAATCTGTCCTGACTAAGGCAGAAAGCGTGAGGACGGGGCTTCACACCGAGGCATCACAGCCTCAGCTTTCTCCCATGGCTCTCTTTACTTCCCCGAAGAATTGTGCCGTGCCGGGAAGGGCTAAGAAGCCCTGGCTGGGTTAAGGCTTGAAAGGCAGGTAGACAAGAGCTCCTTTCTTTTCCCCCTTGCTTCCTCCTCTAGTTCCTGGTCTGCTAACGTCATTTCTGGCTTCATTGCTCTGGCGACTTCTGACTGCCCTTCCCTCTGTACAAATAACAGAGCGTTAATCTGTCTGCCCCTCCTCCTCCTGCTGGATAGCCTCCTAGGTCTTGGCTGGGACCGAGTCCCCTTAAGTCACATGCTCCTGCTCCATCTCTTGGTGCTTAACTCCTTAAAGGAGTAATTGTGGAGGGCTGAGTTTGGCCGCAGTTGGAGTTTGTCACGAGGAGGACTGGGAAGCATGAGATGTCTCGGGAAAGCTCATGTCACCATGGATGGCTTCTGCTGAAGGAGCACTGGTGACACTCTGTCAGCTGCTAGAAACGGCATAAAAACAGCCCCCGCTAAAGAGTTCTCTCACAGTAACCCCTGTGACCCCTACGGTCACCACAACTGTCTTCCAATGGCACCTCCAACTGCAGGAATAGGAAGTGAATTCATAGTGGCCCCAGCAGACACCCTGGTAACAGGCTGGGAGAGGCAAGTCACCCTGTAGTCTGCAGGGGACACTTCTTGGCTCTTTCATCCCTGGAATCTTCCAGATGGCCACATGATGTTTTCTTTCTTTTGAAACACGGCTCGCTTCCAGTGGCCCTTTGTCATAATTCTCGAAGAAGGTTGCCTTATAATTCAGGAAGAGTGGCTCCCTTTCCTTGCTGTGGTGCTGTGGATGAACTCTGCTTATTCTTTTTTAATTAAAAAAATAATTAAATTTAAAAAATCATTTTAAACTTTAAATTTTTAAGCCAGCATGTGTGTGATATTTTTTAAGATGTTTCCTGGGCCCCAGGGTTGGAACGAGTTGAAGAAATGAGACGAACAGGAGTGGTTCTTTTGTCTTGGGGAGCTACCATAGTACCTCTCAGAAGACAGAGGGACTGTCACTATTGCTTAGGAGAAACAGTAGATATGCTGGATGAGCCAGAAGAGGGCAAGACTGTCTTCTTAGTGAGTCACTCAGTGCCTGTAGCACACATAACAAAACCCCAGAGACAGATATTGGGGTTCAAGCTGAAGATCAGAAAAGCAAAGCAGCCAGTCACTGGCTGCTCACCTTGGCAGGGACCCAGAGGTACCTTTTCTGGCCCTTTATCCTTTCAATTACCACACGGATAGAGGCTTTTTCAATCAATCTCCCTAGTTGCTAGGGAATTCAGGGTCACATTTGCTATAGAAAAATAACAGGGCAGTGGTGGTGCAAGTCTTTAATCCCAGCACTTGGGAGGCAGATCTCTGTGAGTTAGAGGCCAACCTGGTCTACCAAGGGAGTTCCAGGATAGCCAGGGCTACACAGAGAAACCCTGTCTCCAAAAACCACAAAGAAGGAAGGAAGGAAGGAAGGAAGGAAGGAAGGAAGGAAGGAAGGAAGGAAGGAAGGAAGGAAGGAAGGAAGGAAGAAAGGGAGAAATGAAGTAATATATCCGGTCCTGTACAGTGATTCTAACAGATGTATAAATTACATTATCCAACTTTGAATCCGTGTATGCACTCTGTCCCTTCTCTGCTCATATGAACCTAAGTTTCTGAGTTTCCAGCTGAATGTATCTCTGCGCATAGCAGGCAGGCACTCCATAGCTCACTTGTCGAACTGAGTATTGTCTCCAAATTCAACTTCAGCGTCAACAGTGGAGAACACATTGCCTCCTTTCGACATTTCTTAGACCTAACGGGCATTTTGTTACTTTCGTATCAACTTAGACAACATCCATTAGGCTTCCTTTTAAAAGAAATCAGTTCAATTTTTTTAATGAATCCGCCCCTCCCCTACCCAATTTGGTAAATTCCCATGGTACACAACTTTTCTTCAATGGAATGGCACTCAAAGCTAACTGACTGGCGGCAGTGACAGCTTCTGATGCTTTTTGCCCTCCAGAGAGTTTCCTAATAGCCTTTCTCTTCCTCGCAGCTCTGCAGCGTCTAAGTACTGTTTGTATGAGGAAAGATCACAGAAAGGCTGAGGGTATGATATAATTAAGAAGGCTAAGTCGTGAGTGGAGGAGGAAATGGGGAGAAAGCTTTGCAGTCGCTTCTCAGCTGTGTATAGCTGGGCTTCCGAGACTTGACCATGAAGTTGGTCAGCAGGAGGCAGCCAGCTGAGCTGTTGTGCTGAGCCAGCAGGCAGGGACATGCTGCTCCCCTGGCTACATTGTCATTTCTTTGGTGCACACAACGAGTTCTAGTCTTCATGTGTTTATAAATGAGTCAGCCTTCGTTTGTACAAAATATTTTCGCCACTAATGCCCAGATAGCTTTCCCTGCGTGAGGGCTAGCCTTATGCTGATGGCTAACTTCATGGTTAAAAGTTTAAAATTACTGAGCTTATTAAGAGAACTATGAAGCAAAATTGGACTTCCAAATAGAAGAGCTGCTAAGGGTTCATTTTTGTAATCGTCTAGTCTTGTACAACTTTAATGATACCGTTTCTGCTTCTCTGAGCAGAAGCTTGCTTTGCACAAGATGACTTGCTTGTACATAGACAGAAAGTCACTGTATTCTTTGCCTTTAAAAGCCTGGGCGATGGTGGCGCACGCCTTTAATCCCAGCACTCGGGAGGCAGAGGCAGGCGGATCTCTGTGAGTTCGAGACCAGCCTGGTCTACAGAGCTAGTTCCAGGACAGGCTCCAAAGCCACAGAGAAACCCTGTCTCGAAAAACCAAAACCAAAAAATAAATAAATA